CCGCAGGCATGAGCTCTACGTCAACTTTCGTGACCTCGGCTGGCTGGTAATTTCTATCTTTCCTCTGCCTGCCACCTGCAGACCCTGGTGTCTCCAGGGTGGGGGTGGAGCTACTGTGCCTTTAAAGTGTATAAAAGCCATGAAAATGAAGGCAGTCTTCGTGCTCAGCCCAGTAAGCCGTCAGCACTCCAACAGGGAAACTGAGGCTGGGTGGGCAGGGCCTCTGGTCTCTTCCTGCTCCAGCTGCTGCAGAAGGCATAGGGGCAGCTGTGGAGGAGACAGGAGAGGGGGTGAGGAGTGAAGGGCAGAGCTGAGGTGAGGGTCACTGAGGGGGTGAGAGTACACAGCCTCAGGTCATTCCATTATAGGTGCTATGCTGACGGTCTATGGAAGGACATTGAGGTGACTCACCCTTTCCCACCCACAGGACTCTGTCATTGCCCCCCAGGGCTACTCAGCCTATTACTGTGCCGGGGAGTGCATCTACCCACTGAACTACTGCACGAACACCACCAACCATGCCACTATGCAGGCCCTGGTCAGTATCACAGTGCCTTTCTTGGGACCCGAGGGACTGGACAGGCATGAGGGTGGAGAGGATGATGGCGAAGGGGAACTTTCTCTGCAGACTCAGCCATGACGTTTGGTTTCTGCCCCTTAGTAAATGGTGCTGCTCACATGGGTGTCTCTGGACAGACATCTGAGCACACAACAGATGAGTGTCCACTGGGGGCCTGCAGGACCCGACATGTGTCCTGGGTATCCTGGTAGATCTGGCCTGATGTTCACATGTGCTCACCCATTATGCCTGGCTAGATGACTCATGAACCCTCAGCTCATTGGGGAACTGTTCCCCACTTCTTCCTTGGCTGCCTGCAGTCCCAGGTTGTAGTGCTAAGGGCAGTCTAGAGATACTCTGTGATGGAAGAAGTTGCTAGCAGGAGGACATCTATAACTGCCTTTGGCCCATGTTTGTACTTGTAGAATCTGGTGTTGAGACTTCCTTCTAGAACATTCTATCTGGAATCCTAGCACCCCATGACCCTTGACCTTGTTTTACCTAATAGGCAGTTTTGTCAAATGACGCTACAGAGCAGTAGTTCTCTACCTGTGGGTCACGACTTCTTTGGAGGTCCGGTCACATATTAGATATCATATATATCAGGCATTTACATTACGGTTCCTAACAAGGCTGGTGAGATTACCACGACATTAGGAGCTGTATTAAAGGGTCACCCTGTTAGGAAGGTTGCAAACCACTGCTCTAGCTAGAGTGAGCATCAGGACAAGAGCTGCTTTGAGCCAGTATGAAGGTGTCCTCTCACAAAGGGTGTTTGCTGGGTGCCTGGAACCGCTTGTCCTGAGAGATGCTCATCCTCATGACAGGAAGTGAATGCTTTAAAGATGGGCAGAAGGATTGGCACCCATTTCAAGCTCTGTGACACCATTAGACAGCCTTGCCTTAGAAGTTGAGCCACATCAAGGTTGGGGGGATATTCTTGAATTTATCCCTTTGTTCCATGAACATTTCTAGTTCAGTCTGTAAAAGAGACTGTCCCTTCCACAGATGACACCAACCTGGTGGGGATGTAGTAAAACACAGAGCAGTATGGGGCAGTGGGGTCCCAGAGAATGCCCCATTGTACCCAGTGCTGGGACCAGCAAGCTTATCTGAGTTTCCAAAGTAGATGTGACCATGGACCAAAGTCTTAGTGCTGAGGGGCTTGTGTATGAGCACCTCCAAGCCAGGTGCCTGGGCTGTGTCTTGAGGGCAGTGGGCAAGGCAAGTGTGCAGGGCCTGAGCTGCCCTAGCTACAGGTAGTCAAAGGCACTGGAAGGGTAACGGGCGGGAACTGGGACCATCCGCTCATGTGCTACCTGCATCCCTCCCTACTAGGTACATCTGATGAAGCCGGATATCGTCCCCAAGGTGTGCTGTGTGCCCACTGAGCTGAGTGCCATTTCTATGCTGTACTATGATAAGAACAGTAATGTCATCCTGCGCAGGGAGCGCAACATGGTAGTCCAGGCCTGTGGTTGCCAATGAGGCCCTGCCCAGCAGCCTGCTATCTGCTCAGGCCCCTCTTCCAAGGCAGGAAACCAAGAGACCTTATCAGCCCCAAGGCCAGGAGGGAAGGCAGTGCTTTCAACTGTGTCTACATTCAGCCCTCTTTCACGGGCTTGGCCCTCTCCTGGCCCCTCCGTTCTCTTTCTCTGTCCTGGTGACTTCAGTCCTCAAACAGTAGCCCATCTCTCATGCCGCCCCCCCCCCAACTCCCCAACACAGCCAGGGGCATCTGTGTCCTTTGGGATTGGCACAGAAGTCCAATATACCAATCTATTCATGACCATTCCTGGCCCAGCCTGACTTGAACCTGGAGCACAAGATGAAGCTCAGGCTCTTCAGTATCCATCAGAAGATGTAGGTGTGTATAGACATGATCAAATTCCCTCTAACACGCCATAGCCTGTCTCTTGGAGGTGCAACATGGGATTTCTAGAGAAGAGTTTTAAAAACATGGAAAAACCAGGTATAGTAATATACACTTGTAATCTTAGCATTTGGGAGGCTGAAGCAGGATTACCATGAGCTCAAGGCCAGCCTGGGATATATATCAAGATCTTCCTTCAAAACAAACAAAACAACCTAGCAATATCTTGGTGTATTTATAGATCTCAGTCACTAAACCTCTGGCCATAAGCAGGCACAAGAGGACAGCTAATGAAAAAAACCTATTGTGGATTTAACATCTGGATTCAGGCATTGTCATTAAAGGAAATGCCAACAGCTTTCCTGATCCACAGTCCTGATTCTGCCTTGATGCAGCTACTACAGGCTGGCACATGGGCAAACAACTTAAGTTGTGCCTTGTCTTGGTGCTGGAGCAAAGGTATCATGAACAAGGTGACCCCAGAACAGAAGACAAGCAGTCCTCAAGTAAGAGGCACTGCCCTTTAGGTGCTCATGGTCCATGCAGAGGTGGCAGAGCAGGTTGCAGGGGGAGGGGAAACACATGCTACTGAGCATTCTTGTCCAGGCTCCAGATCTATGCTAGACTCCTGCCCGGCAGAGGACCAGCATCCCATGCCTTCTCGTAAGAGGGCTATGACTGTGTCTCCTATCAAGAACTGCAGCCCTCCCTAGCTACCTTCTGGAGCTGACTTCTCTGAAACCCCCAGCAAGTTGAGGCTAAACCCAGTAGGCCTCAGGACTCTACTGGCACTGGATAAGCAGGCCAAGCCCCACCCTACCTCCGTTGCACCAGTAGGATGATCCTGGCAGAGGTTTGGTTCATCTGTGCAGCGTTTGACAGCTAATCTTAGCCAGGCGGTGGTGGTGCACGCCTTTAATCCCAGCACTTGGGAGGCAGAGGCAGGAGGATTTCTGAGTTCGAGAGTTCAAGGCTAGCCTGGTCTACAGAGTGAGTTCCAGGACAGCCAGGGCTACACAGAGGAATCCTGTCTTGAAAAAAACCAAACAAACAAACAAAAAAAGACAGCTAATATTGGTTGACACCTGGGATCCTCCAATAGGGAACTGCCTCCATCAGGTTGGCATATAGGTACACCTGTGGGGCATTTTTGTGATGGAGGAAAGTCCAAGCCAATGTGGGCAGTACAATCCCTGAGCAGACTGTATAAGAAACAGCATTCTTTCATGGTTAATACTTTAGTTCCTACCCCAACTTCCCTCAGCGATGAACTGTGATGTAGAAGTACAAGCCAATAAGTAAAACCTTTCCTCAAGTTGTTTTTGGTCACGGTGTTCATTACACACAGGGCTCTAACATGTCTCTGTGGCTATCTAGGCAGAGCACAAGGAGAGGAAGGAATGGACACTCACATCCTGTTGAGTGTCCACAGCTACATCCTGGCCTCAATTCTTCAGGCACTGTCATAGGAATTCATCATCTCTTGGTAGTCTCTGCTAAGCTCTTTATACATGGCCTGGCCAGGTTCTTAAACGGGCCCAAGTACTGTGGTCCCTCACTCCAAATGCCTGGGCAAAGACTGGTTCCTGCCCACTGAAGCTGACATTTCTGTATAATAGCAGGGTCAATCTGCCTGGGCTATGTCTAAAGATTTATTTTATGTATATGAGTGAGTACAATTATAGCTATCTTCAGACACACCAGAAGAGGGCATCAGATCCCATTACAGATGGTTGAGCCACCATATGGTTGCTGGGAAATGAACTCAGGACCTCTGGAAGAGCAGTCAGCGCTCTTAACTGCTGAGCTATCTCTCCAGCCTAGCCTTGGCCATATCTAGATGTTTCTGTGAAGGTATGTTTTAGACAGATTAATATTTAATTTATGGAGTAAAGCAGAAGGTAGGTGGGGTTCATCAAAGACAGATCTCATAAACAAAAGCCAATTCACTAGTCAGTACATATGTACACACACACACAGAGAAAGAGGGGGGGGAGGGAGGGAGGATTGAGAGACAGACAGAGACACACGCTCTGAGAACACATAAATACATGACCAGTCACCAACTATTTGCTTCTAGTGCTGTAAAGAGAAAGAAGCCACAGGCAGCATTTGAACTTAACTGGATATGGCAGTGTCTCAATAAAACCTAATTCAAAGAAACAAGCAGCAAGCAGCTGGATGCCCAGGCAGTACGCCGGCCTTTGGTCTCCTGAAAAGAAGCCTAGTACCTGGCCGAGTCATAGTACACCTACCATTTTAAAAACCTGAAGACTGTAACGTGACCGTTAGACGTGGGAGCCACCAAGGACAACACCAGACAGGCAGCAGCTCAGGAGCACGGACAACAGTAACAGGCAGCCTGACTTCTACGCCCTGACATGATCTGACAAGGACATGTGGCATAAAGATGTATTCCCTGGCATGTAAGAGATTTAGCCCCAGGAAGGAAAGAAACAAAGCCACAGGGAAGGTATTACAGCTGTCCAAATATGCCATCCCACTCAGGGGACAGTTTAGCCTTGGACATGATCCCTAACAGACAACTCCCAGGAGCTTGCAGGAGGCAACAGTACAAAAAACCAGTTTATTTTAGCAAAGAAGCTACCTAGCAGCTACAGACAGTTCAGGACAGGTGGCGGCAGCACTCTGCCTAGGCTGGCTTTCAGGCCCAGCCACGACTGAAGCCTGGGCACTGCAGATGAGTGGCTGCTACGGCAGGTGACCCCAAGGAAAGGCTTGTGCTACACGGCTTGTTCACAGGGCCCAGAGAGCAGGCAGTCCCCCTTGTCTGACAGAGGTGGGGCAGAGAGCAGCTTCACATGTACTCTCCACAGTCAGCAATGATCACCTTCTGCTTTGGCTTCCCATCCTTGCTGCCCTGAGCCTGTGTGGGCAGAACAGAGAAATCAGGAGAGAAGCATCGTTTGAGACCTGCTAGAGCATCATCCTCTGCCCAAACTGAGACCTGTTCTAAATGCCTCCTTCCAGGGCATAGAGAGCCCTCTCCAACTCTCTCACTGGGGCGCCCACCCACGCAAGGTCCAGGCAGGAAGCCATTTCCAATCACCCACCTCAATCTGCCGCAAGACATCCAGGCCTTCCGTGATCTCCCCAAATACCACATGCTTGCCATCCAGCCAATCTGTCTTATCACAGGTCAGGAAGAACTGGGAGCCATTGGTGTTTGGGCCAGAATTGGCCATGGAGAGGAGGCCTGGGAGAAAATAAACTTGTCAGCTCCCTCCACACTGCTCCCAGCCCATGAAGCATGCTTGTGCTGACAGCTGATGGTGCTTCTGCATGCTGGCTCAGGCCAAGAAAGGGTCCAACAGACAGCACCTTGCCTTTCCTTCACTACAGAAAAAGGATGAGTGGGCTGTTTCTAGGTCCCCCCCCCTACACACATTCATTTGTCTTTTCATTTATAACAATGACTTGCAGTCTACTTTGTAACCAGGTCCATTAAGTCCTGGAACACTGATGAGCAAAATATTCATTTAAAGTGTAATTGTATGGGCTGGAGAGATGGGTCCACAGAGAAAGGTGCTGTAGAAGCCTGACAATCTGCATTTCATTTCCAGAACCTATAGTAAAGGAAAGAGTTGTCTCCTCAAAGTTATCCTCTGATCTCCACACCCAACTGTGCTGCATGGACCCTCTCTTAAACAAAGTACTTAGTGCAAGCAAACCAACACAAATGATAAATACATCTAGTATAAAGGATACTGTGCTATGACAACTAAGATGCAGGGACATCTGTGCTGGGGAGAAGCTTAAGGCAGTCCCATGGAGGGACTCTGGGCCAGGATATGAACTGGAGACAGAGTACAGCTATGGGTGATCAGGGATGAATCCAAGATGAGCCCCAACCCCTGATCAGGCATAAGTGAACAGTTATCTACTGAAGCTCAGAGACATAAAGGGAGTTGGAGAAGAACTATTTTAACCTGTGAAGTCTGAGGGTCCTTTACAAGAGCAGCAGGCGTTCTTAACCACTGAGCCACCTCACTAGTCCCTTAAGACCTAAGCCTATTATGTCTCACAAATGGCAAGCTTTAAGGGCTTTCCCAGTAATGGAATCCTCTAGGGAGCTGGATGCAGCAGTGCATGCCTATAATCCCAGCACTCAGAAGTATCCAGAGTTCAGTGTTAGCTTGAGCCACACTCTAAGACCCAGGCTCAAAAAGCAAACCAGGTATGGAGGTGTATGCCTTTAATCCCAGTACTTGAGAGCCAGCCTCAAGCAGGTGGATCTCTGTGATTCCCAGGCCAGCCTGGGCTACAAAGTGTGAGACCATGTTTCAAAAACAAACCCAAAGAAATAACTCGAGGTCAAACTATAATGTCAATCAATGGACTCCCATGCATCATATCACAAAATCACGTCAGCACCGGCAATACCGTCTGTGGTATCTGAACTGCCAGCGACAACCTGTCTTTATTTCTAACTGCTGCATCCGAGTATGGCATACGTTGGAATAACTCTTGTGTCTTCTGGTGTTACTGCACCTATCAGGACATTTGTACTTTTTTTTTTTTTTTAAGGTTTTTTTGAGACAGGGTTTCTCTGTGTAGTCCTGCCTGTCCTGGAACTCACTCTGTAGACCAGGCTGGCCTTGAACTCAGAAATCCTCCTGCCTCTGCCTCCCAAGTGCTGGGATTAAAGGCATGTGCCACCACTGCCCGGTGACATTCGTACTTTTAAGATAATGCAGGTAGGAAGAACTTCTTGTCCCTGTACTTCAGTCTAGCATAAAGTTGCAGGAAGAACAGAGGTGTAGTGAACAGGTTTCTATGGAGAAATGAACTGATCTCTGACCACCATCATGCTCAGTAATTGAGGAAGGAGGAAGTGGAAGACAGAAAAGTGGTGAAGCAGGTGAAGCTACCGGAAGACGGAGAAGCCGACTGCCAGAGCAAAGCGAGAGACAAGGAGCACAGGGCTGACACGGCAGGATGCTGCCAGGGTGGAATAAGCTGAGGCGGAAAACTGGCTACTGGCAAAAAAGATGGTTAGTATCTTTAGCAAGAAAGGTTTGAGTGGCCAGCTGGGGCTAAAAATCTAGAGAGAAGGGCTTAGAAAGGATGAACGCAGTGAGCTTGTACATTTTTTTTCTAAAAGTTTTGCTAAAAAGTAGATCAGAGAGTCAAGATGACAGCTGGTGGGAGAAACAAGAGTCCAAAGATGGGTTTTTTTTGTTTGTTTGTTTTTTGTTTTTTTAAAGATTGGGATTGCATGCCTGGACACAGATGGACCAAACTAGCTAAACAGGGGAAACACATTATATAGGTCAAAGGGAGCCAGCAGGAGACATGAAGATCTTTAACTGGCAGAGGGGCAGACTCCAGCCCACAAGGAGGGAAGGATGGCCTCTGTAATAGGAGGGTGTCAGAGCATGCATCTGTGGTAGGCACAAGGCAAGACCTCAAATCAATATGAAGGTTTCAGAAGAAAACCAGGCATGGACTGTAATTGGGCCTGAGGGTGTGGAGGGGACACAGAGGCTGAGGGCATAAGGGAGCTGCAGTGATAACCACAAACTCTACCCTAGCAGCGAACACCAACTTGTGGAATGAAGATGGTGGGAAGAGTACAAGACTGGAGGGAGGCAGGCAGCTCACCTCAGCATGTGTTTCATCAGTGGCTGGTCAATCACAGCCCAGGCTTGGCAGTCATGGCTATTTGCCTTGGCCCTGCCTTACTCATCACACCAGAATTAGTGCTTACCTGGTCCTGTGTGTTTAAGGATGAAGTTTTCATCATCGAACTTCTTTCCATAGATGGACTTGCCCCCTGTGCCGTTGTGGTTTGTGAAGTCACCACCCTGGCACATGAACTGGGGGATGATGCGGTGGAAGCTGCTTCCCTTGAAGCCAAAGCCCTTTTCATGGGTGCACAGGCAACGGAAGTTCTCTGGTGTGGAAACAGGAAAAGACGCTGAGGTTAAAGACAATCTAGCTTCCAAACCAAAATGAAGGTAACTACTTAGAAAGACAAAGGGGGCGGGGGAGGTATGAAAGGGAGAAAAATAAGACATGAAACATGTTTCACTTGTTTAGTTTTGCATAGCTGCTCCTGGGTATCCACATGAGGATGGTTTCCAGAACCCACCTGGATCCTGTGTCTTTTCTACCATCTCTATAATATCTATGATACACGATACAATATAAATGCTCCATAAATGGTGGTTATACTCTATTATCTAGGGTATGTAATGACAAGGGAATAACACATGCATGCTTAGTGGAGATACAATGTTCCCCTGAAATATATTTACACATTTTTATTACATTTATTTATTGTGTATGTGCATGTATGTGTGCAGGTGTATATAGGTCTGAGGACATCTTACAGGGCATGGTTCTCTCCCATCATATGGGCCCTAGGTCTGACCTCAGGTTTTCAGGCTTGGCAGCAGGTACTTTAACCTGCAGAGCCATCTGACTGGCCCATACATATTTCTGCTATATGATTGGTTAAATTCACAGATGTGAATCCATGCATAGAGAGGGCTGATCATATTCTCATTGTATGCTCCTTATAAGCTGTCAGGATACGCATTTACTAAGTAACCACATGGCACTCGGATTAAATTGGCTATGTGCATTCTATTTCTGCTGTATCCCCAAACCACAGTAAAGTGTTACTATCCTACAGGGAAGTGCCTTATTAACTCAGGAAGTAAATAACTCAAAAGCATCAAGAAGTCCCTGAAACTGACCAGATTTAACAGAATCCTCTCTTCCCTAAGCAGGAAGGACTTTGAGAGACACTTTCAGACAAATGGAGCTGCCTGGAAAACCACTTTCTAACTTATCAAATCGCCTGAAGTTGTGCAGTGAGCACAGGTTTCTAGCTTTCATAAGCCATTATGGGCCTTTGGTGATGCAGCTGATTTTGAGTCCCTTTCTGCTTCTGTAAGTAGCTACCCACCCATACTCCTGAGATAAGCACAATAAAGTCATTGCCTCATCGACTTGAACGCGATGGTGTTATTTCTTTGCTGTGTCCATCAATTGCCTCATTACAGTGAGTGAACATTTCTTCATGTCTTCCCTGGAACTCTAAAAGTTGTCCTCTAATCTCCATATATGTAATGGCATGCATGCAGGCAGGCACATGTACACAGACACACACACAATAATTTGCTTTTGACACAGGGTCTCACTATATAGTGTTGTCTGTTCTGGAACTCTATGTAGACCAGGGTGGCCTAGAACTCAAGAGATTTGCCTGCCTCTGTCTTCCAAATGCACCACCACACCAGGCCACAGTAACTGTTTTAAATAATGGTCATGTGGCGTGTCTGCATGTGAGTATATACATGTGAAAGTGGGTGCCAGAAGAGAGTATCCGATTCCTTGGAGCTAAAGATACAGGTACTCAGACACGGGCTAACCAAAATTAAAGTGACTACCAGAAAGATGTGGGGGTGTTGAAGGCAGGAAAAGATAATTCCTTTTCTAGAGAGGTAAATCAAAAGATAATACCTAAGCGGAAAATAATTTTTGTATAATTAAAAAGGGAGGGGTGAATATAAAGCTATTATCTTTCAATGTGGAAGTTAAAATCAAAATAACCAGCTAAGAAGTGAAACTGGCTGCCTCTGAGGTGCAGCCAATGGTGCTGACAGCAGGGCAGGAAATGGGGTTATTGGTCTCTATTATTACAGGGGACTAATGATATTTCAAAGCAAATTTTGTGATAACTACTTAAACTAAATGTATAAACAATAAAGTTTACATTAAAGAATAAGTCAATATTTTAATGAACTAGAAATTAGTACTTCTAGAACATAGAGCTAGATGTAATATTGCTGGGATAATTTGTTTGATATATTCTTTTACACGATTATTCACAATATTCATAATAATGCAATCTTACTATGTTATTTTAAAAAAGAAACAGAAACCTCTACTACTAAAAAATTATAAACCAGCAATTAATGAGCTTCAATGTCTGGTCTGACCTCTGTTACTAGATCCTAGGATCTTAGATGGCACAAATTCATTCAGAAACAATGCCAAAGGAATAAGAGCCGCGGCAGCGAGAGCCTTGGGAGAGTCTGCTCAGCCATCAGCTTGCTGTCAGCCTGAGCACTGTGGTCTGCTTACCTGCGGTCATGGGTACAACATCAGACCGCAGGAGCATCTGAATGCGGCCTGCTGGCTTGTTCCCAATCTTGATGTCCATGTACACCTGAGGATTTGACCGGGCTTTCTTTGCAGTGGGCTCTCCCTAGGTGTAGAAATAAAATGCTGGTTAGAGGACCCCCTAACTCCAAGTAGACGAACAAGTAATCTTCCAAACATACATCAGAACACAGCACTATCAAACAGCCTAAACACAGATGCTAACAGTGAAGGTCTTGGGCCCTGATAGAGCTATAGGTGGCAGGAATTATGGCCAGAATACCCAACTGGACACCCAGTGACAGGAAACCTCACTCAGCACTATACAACAGGCCCCCTAACCATAGGCATATCTCTCCACACTCACCCTCAGACATGGCTGCTCACCTTCCTTGTCCTGCAGCTCATTGGGTCAGAATACTCAACCTACCTCATCTACAATGCCTATGACAAGTCATATACTTTACTATAGCTAGTGGAGACACACACACATACACACACACACACCCCAGTACGTCTTTCCTACACGCACAATTGTCACTGTCACAGGTTCATCCTGGAAGCATGGGGAAGCCCTTCTGATGGGGTACAAATGCTCAAAGGACAAGAGGCAGAGGCTTGCTTTGTACTTCAGTAGGGGAGCCTAAAGCAGAGGAAAGCAGATACAGAACACAAACACCACATTTGTTTTGGCTCACCAGATCAAGCACATGCCAAGGAATCATGTGGATGCTCTAACTCCTGCTGTTTACACTGGTACTAGCAATAACACAGCACAACAATACAGTTCTTGCTGTACTGCCCCAGGTCTTGAAGACAGAGAGGAGTAAGACCTGAAGCTACTTTCTTCCTTCAAATTTATACGGTTAGATATATATCACATATACTATACACATATATTTAATGAGTCCTAGCTAAGCATGGAGTACAGAGTACACTACAGAGAGGCAGAAATGACATCTGCAAGATGGACAAGATGGACCAGGAAGCCCTGCTGGGCTCTTGTGCCCTGAGCTATATGACAGAGGAGTGAAAAGCTCTAAACATAAATGACTGGATCTGTGTTCCAGAAAGACTACTCTAGCTTCCTTAGGAAAGGACCAGGGAGGCAGAGGCAGGCGGATTTCTGAGTTCGAGGCCAGCCCGGTCTATAGAGTGAGTTCCAGGACAGCCAGGACTATACAGAGAAACCCTGTCTCGGAAAAAAAAAAAAAAAAAAAAAAAAAAAAAAAAAAGGAAAGGACCAGAGGAACCAAGACTGTAGCCACAAACTAAAAATTTCAAAACAAGGCAAGGCTAGACACAAATTACAGACAGGACGAGGAAGGCTATGAGGAAAAGCACCGGAGTGTGATGACGGACTGGCTCTACTGTAAAGAAGGGATTAGGATGGGCGGGGACTCCACTGTGAGTGCTACTTTAAGTCTGCATACAAGCTTCTGGCTTAGGTAAGTGTGTGGCTAGATAGTAACCAAGATTAAGAGCCCAGCAGGACAAGATAAGGGAGAACAACATCCACTCAAGGCAAAATAAGCCACAATGACACTTGCAGGCAGAAACAACTGAAGTCCAGTGTTAGAAACAGAGACCATCAGAGCTGACAGTGCAGCACAGGAGGGCTGCAGTCAGCCAAGAGTGCCAGCTGCTATGTCAGCTGAGAGGACAGAAAAGCCACATGCCATTATAAATCTCACAGGTACACAGAGGAAGTGAAGACCTGCAGCAGTGGGCAGGGAAGTGAGCTGAGAATCAGGAAATGTGCCAGGGCAAAACTGTCATAGGCAAACCCAGAACACACACAGTTAAAGGGAAGTAACACTACCTGACCTGTTTGTTACCTCTGCAGGAGTCCAAAATCAGGACAGAGAGCAAGGAGCCAAAGACCTCAGCACAGGAGAGCTGCCTGCGGGGTGCGGAGGAGGACAAACACAACTCCCAACCCCCCAGCACCGCCCTCACCAAGCTCTAAGTTCACCACCTGCCTGCCCTCTGCGCTCGGCAAATGCTCGGATCTGCAAGCCCCTATCAGGATAGAGAGCATGGCCTGCCTTCTGGAGGGAAGCACCCCTTTCACCCTCACCTCTTGGGCTTCAGCCTTGGGAGGCTCAGGTCCTTCTTCTTCCTTATTCTCCTCAAGAGTCTTCCCAGAAAACTTCTTCAACCAGTCATCATCTGACCAAACTAGAAGGAAAAGACACACAAAGTTAAGAAATTCAGACTATTCCTCAACTGCTGGCAGCTGCCTTGATCAGGTTTGTGGTCCTCTTGGCCAGAGAAGTTCCTTTACAGAACCCTCAAGACCAAGTTCCCACTGAGACTCCTAGAGGTCCAGCTCTTAGCAGGACTAAGGGAAAAGGCTATGTCAAAGACTAAGACAGGGTTTTGCTGGCTTCAGCTCTTTTCTAGGAATGGAGTTTCAAGAGAACTGGGAGACCAGACGGGGTTCTCTCATAAGAGGAGCAATTACTTTGGCTTTGCTACTGTTCACTGATAAAGGTAATGTACACTCTTGACCAGTGTGAACCACTCTCTTGTCCCTCTCACTCCCGTCCACCAGAAGCAGCACTGGTCACACATATAAAGAAGGGCAAACCAGAGGACCTGACAACAGTCTGAGGTGCCCACTCACCTGGCCTGGAAGAGCCCTCTTTAATTCTCATTGGCTTGGCCAAATTGACACGAATCGTCCGTCCAAAGAGCTCAGATTCATTCTGAAAAGATTGTAAATCCAGCTGCTTAAACTGTCAGGTTACAAAACTGGCAGCAACCAGGTGGTGGTGGCATGCATCTGTCATCCTTGCACTCAGGAGGCTGAAGCAGGTGGATCTCTGAGTTTAAATCCAGCCTGGTTTAGATTCGAGGACAGCCAGTGTTATACAGAGAAACCCTGTCTCAAACAAACAACAAACAACTCTGCAGCTTTTCATTTACTTCTGAGACCTGTCTTGTGTTTCCTTTTAATCCTGGATCCATTGGTAGTGAAAGCTATGCTCTCACCACAGAGAATGACAAGGTACTTCCTCCCTGGAGCTCCTGCAAAGCTTTAACACCAACAAAGCCCTGCTCCACTGAGAGTAACTCTGAGCTCAAGGGACGCAAGTGACAGGGAAAAATGTACGTAGACCTCGAGTTCACCTTTGAAAGCAAGATTGGCTCTGAAATAGTTTCCATGGAGAATGGGTAGAAGAGAATGAGTAAAGAACTTCACCAAGATATCAGCGCTAGGAAAGGCCACTTAATGTGAACCTTAAGACAGCAGTGAGAACTTTGTGGCAAAAAACTTAAAAAAAAAAAAAAAAGGTCTTTTATTAGGATTTTATGATGATACCAGAAAAACATAAAAGTGTAAATTTCTTAGAATCAGAATCAATTATGCACTGATTTCTAATGGAAACATAACCAGAGAAGATTATTTTTAATTTTTTTTCCCAGCAAAGTTCTAGCCACAGGATATGACACCTTTACACTTCATCTCTGACAGGATGACACCTAAGAGTCTTAGGCAGGCCACAGATCTTTAAGAGTGCCATCATTTCCAAGGACTCTTCCAGCTGTTCCAATCACCTGCATCAGTAGCATGGCCTTTGGTTAACTCTTCCTGAATTTCTCTTCTCTGTTGTTAACTGGTCTAACATTTCATGAAACCCTTCCCTTTTGCATATATTTGCAGTTTCAGTGAGCAATTAGTTGGCACTGTATTTGCCATTTGCCATCATGTGGGGTGGCCAGTGAGAGATGAGCCAAGAAGGATGGACAGGAAGTACTCTAGTAAATGGAGCGGCGTCTGGACAGGAACTAATTTTCCCAACGATCAGTCCACAATGAGTATTTTTACTTGATGGCAACCTTTACTGCCCTACCTGACCCTGGCACTTCAAAAACTCAGAAGACCAATTTGAACAAGCCCTCTGTACTAGCAAAAGGCACCTTCAGTTAGCATGAGGATCCCCAGCCGTACCATGTTGTCGATAGCTGCTGCAGCATCCTGCCAAGGAAATACAGGTGTAAGTTTAGGCTTGTAGTGGAATACTTCTTGTGTGTTTAAATGCACACATGGTAGCAAAATAAACAGGAGAAAGTCGCCTCTGTACTTCCTGCCTAGGTTGGGTGTGTGACCAACAACACTTGGGCAATTTTTGAGCTCACAGCACCATAATCTTTTTCTAGCTGAAGGCATAAAGAGATAATCACCAGCATTGCCAGGTAAGAACGTTCAATGAACAGAGCTGGAAGAGCCCTGCAGAGCAGGACAGGCAGGGTCTGACTATGGGTCTGACAGAGCATAGTCAAACAGCATTTCTGGACCTCTGAAAGCATCATTACCCTAGGACCCGGAACCTAAGTAAAAGGGGAATAGCTTCCTCGACAGCACTAGTTCTCAACTCTTTAATACAGCTCCTCATGCTGTGGGGACCTCAAACCATACAATTATTTAGTTGCTACTCTATAGCTGTAATTCTGCCACTGTTATGAATCGTAAAGTAAATATCTGATATACAATCCCCAAAGGGGTTTTGACCCACAGGTTGAGAACTGCTACTCTGTAGGAACCAAAGACTAAACAAAGCACAAAAGTCTCACCTCTGCCAACTCAAACTCAACAAAAGCAAATCCTCGGTGTTTTTCTGCAAAAAAGGAAATAAACACAAAGACATAGTAATTGCCATGTGAGGCAAGGGAAGAAAAGAGAACAGTCACAAAGAAGTTGGTCCATACCATGTCCAGACACCAGAAAACCTTCCCATTCACGATATACAAAGAAGGACCCTCATCCATTGATTCCTCCTAATATTTGAAGCAATAATAAACATTTTCTGTAGATAAAGCTACATACTGAACTTCAACTTCTCATTCAGTGCAACTAGAAAGTTATTTAGCAAATCAACTATTTATCCAAATATACAATTTGATTCCAGGTGCCATAGCATGCACCTGTAATGCCAACTACTTAGGAGGCTAAGGCAGAAGGATCATCAGATCAGAGGCCAGCCTGGACAACACAGATCATTTTGAAGCAGAATCAAAACAAAACTAAAACAGGCAAAAAGCCATCAACCAAATATATAATCTGATCAACTACACATAAATTCTAAAATCTGTAAGGATACTCAGTTTTACCCCGAAGACACATTCTGATCTAAGAAGCCCCCCACAACAATGCCAGATTGATCATACAGTCCGTTAGAAAGTCAGTAGAACATTTCTTGCCTGTGCTTCTGCTGACAGTCTAACTATGCAGCCAAGACTGACCTTAAATTCTATCCTCCTGCTTCATCTCTCCCTCTCTGCCTCTCTCTCTGTGTCTGTGTGAACTGAACCCACAGTTTCACATGGTGGGCAAGAATTCTACTAGTGAGCTATACCCCCAGCCTAAGAATGTAAATGTAGAACTGAGATTTACTTTAATTCTTTTCCTATAGGAGGGCACTGAACACTAAAAATTCCCAAATGACCCACCTGTCTCATAATCCAGAGGAATCTGAATATCCGTGATGTCCCCGAAAGGGATAAAAGCAGCATGGAGAACCTTGTCGTCCACCTCTTCTGCCAGCCCACCTGTAAGTAAGCCAAGCCCTTCTGAGCTGCGGTCCTCCACACTCAGAAGTCCCTGAAGCCCAGACACTTGACAGGCAAAGGGAGGGATCTTTCCATCCAGCCCTTTGTCTACACAAACATCTCTCTATATATTCTACCCACACTATGTTCCTTTCTCCGTTCTTTCAAACAGATCCGAATCGATCTCCAGGACTCTTGCAATAGCTTCATAACTGACCTCTTTGCCTCCATTCCCTTCCTCCAAACGCCCCTCCTAATCAAATATTTTGAGAAAGTGGAAATGAATCCATCAGTTCTCTTAGACTTCAAAGTCTTAAACGTCACAGTCCTCAGGATAAAGGGAGAGCTCCTTAGTAGTGTACACAGGGCTATCATCTGACCTTCGCCAATCCCTCTTTTATCTTCCATTTCCCCAATTTCCCTGGGTTTCTCAAAAAAATGACCCAGCTGCCCCTAGGCTTCAGGCTATTTTACACCTTTGGGCTTCGGCTCCCGTGCATCGAACAGCTTTGCCTCTACTCTGACCCCTTGCCCAACTCCTGCTCAACTTCTGCGTTCCGGCAACAGAAAGTTTGCCCTCACCCAACTTCCTGTCATCATTGTTAGTCCCTATTACGACAATATGGTGTTTAGGTTATTTCCCGCTTTCTTCTAGATACTCTGGTAACTCCTTCCTTTAGGGCAAAGACCCAGCCATTCCGCACTGAATGTTTGTAAAAAGAATGGGTGGGCGGAATTTGGAAGCCCATAGTTCTTGTAACTCATCGGGGCTCCTGGGGGCTTAGTGGACTAGGAAAGTCGTCGGAATGGTCCTTCCATCTCGGACTCACACCCTCAGATCCAGCAAGTCCTCCCTAGACCCAGGTTGCTCTCCCCTTTTCCCACATTCCTCTAAATCTATCTCTCGCGCCTGCTCACCCACGTACAGCACACGCTTGGTAGTGGCCATCTTGCTCGCGCCCGTTTCCGCCGGAAGCCGGCACTCGGTCGGCCCCCTTGCCTTCGCCCCTCCCCTTAGGTCCGGGCGGGTCTCTGCGCTGCTGCTGCAGGCTCCGCCCCTTACCACGTTCCGTAGCGCTCCAACTGTGCGGTCCTGTCCAGTTAGGTCCGGAACGACCCTACATGAGCTGGGGTCTCCCAGGGCTAGGGATGCTGGAAACAAACCTTGGTCTGATTAACCGGAATATTAATGGCAATTGACCCACTACCAACACACTAGGGGCTCGGCAGTCCAGGCAGCTGTTTTTAGCCAATTTGGGAGCCAAGAATGTTTTTTACATTTTGAACGGGGGTAGGGGGTGGGGAGGGTGAGGCAGAGGATCAAGACAGTATTTCGTGAGAGATGAAATTTATATAAAGTTAAAATTTCAGTATCACAAAGTTTAATTGTTAGAGCATAGCCACATTCGTTCCTTTTCTATTGTCTGGCTGCTTTCATGTTACATGGGGAAGGAAGAGACATGTTCCTCCCAGGGATGACAATGTTTTACCATCTGGCCCTTTGGGCAAAGTGTTTGCTATACTCTTGTTCTAAAGTAATATTTAAATTATAGGTTCTCATTAGCAGTACAAAATAGTAAGATCACGTTGGTTTGCCTGTTAGAGTATCTCACTATGCATTCTAGGCCTCAGCCTCCTCAGTACTGAGAGTTCGGTTATATACCACCAAGCTACCTCGAATAGAAACTTAACAAGTTTTATTTTGAGTATTTATTTTGAGACTGGATCTTCCTATGTAGTCCTGGCTATCCTGGAATTCACTGTGTAAACCAGGCTGGCCTTGAACTCACAGAGATCTCCTGAGTGCTGGGACTAAAGGCGTGTACCACCACAGGAAGCCTTACAGTATTGTTGAAGGGCTCTAGTAGGCCCAAGCTTTGTAAGCATGGCTCTGCCAGGCCTTGCCCTTCTCCCTAGTCCCTCTGCCTCGCTAAAAAACAAACAAAAACCAAACAAACAAACATTGGATTATATTCTTAAAGCTAGCCACCAAGACCTCTTCCCTTATTTGGCCTCCTGAGGATGATCACCAAGGTCCAGCTATCAAAGTATTGAAGTCCAGCAATCAAATCCCTCTTTGGGCTACCCTAATTAACATGGCCAACCAAAACATATCACCACAGCCTAGCCCATTCTCACATCAACCTCCCCTTTCTTTCCTCTTTAAAAAAATCACACCAGGCAATAGTGGCGCACACCTTTAAGCCCGGCACTTGGCAGGCAGAGGTAGGCGGATTTCTGAGTTCGAGGCCAGCCTGGTCTACAGAATGAGTTCCAGGACAGCCAGGGCTATATAGAGAAACTCTGTCTCAAGGGGAAAAAAAAAGTTAAAAGAAAATTCACACCTACAAGGTCGTTTGCTGCTGTTTTCTGCCTGAGTCAGAAAGCAGCCACTCTCTCCTCCCCCCCACACACACTTAATAAAGGATCTCTCTATAAAAATAGGTGTTTGTGTGTGGTTTGTGCCTAACCCAGGGTTCAAGGAGGAACACTGTGTGCAGATCCCTGCAGTCATGATGCTGGAGATCAAACGCAGAGCTGTAGCCCATTGCCAGGCAAATATTCTACCACTGGTCCGTAGCCTCAGCTATCTTAGAGCATTTAGACTTCCCTGAGGTAACTTTTAAAAACTTTATTATTCAAGTGTGTGTGTGTGTGTGTGTGTGTGTGTGTGTGTACATGCCACAGCATACATATGGAGACCAGAGGCATCCTTTTGGGAGGTTAATTTGTGTAGTTCTTGTCGGAGGCCCTATTTACTCTGCATTCACTTGTGACCCTACAGAGTCCATAGCTCAGGAGTCCAGAAGTTGGCTGACAGCTTCCTGTAACCATAGTCAGGGGTGTGTCTCTCTTCACACCATGGCCTGTACCCATTGTATTTTAGAGCTAATCAGCCAATCAGCATATAGCTGACTTCACCAATCTCATGCTATACTAAGGTATGGTACTAAGGATTCTGGGGTGTGGTTAGCAGAATTCTTTGTGTACCCAGAACTAGTCTAGAACAACACAGTTACTCTGGAAAATCTATTCAGGTATCCTTTATGTGGGATGTGGGTATGGTGTACTAAAAATACATTTGTGTAGTTGATTTTTGACTAAAGTTTCAGGTACCTCCAGAGCTCTTTAAAACTCTTGGAATTGCCTGGATGATGTGATGAAGTCTTTTGTGATTCATAATTAGCCCATTTTTTTTTTATCATTTCTGACTTAATGCTCAGCAGCTGACTCATAGTGGGGCCCTTTCACAGTCTCAAGATGGCAACTGGTTACCAGAGCAATCAGCATCTTCATCAGAGGCTGAATTTTTAGCTCTACCTCAAGATCCCTCAGAGAAGGTAGGAGACAAGAAATTGAATTCTACCATCAGTGACTCAGCTGTGCCTGTCTAAGGAAGCCCCATACATAGGGGCTTTGGGTAACTGAATGTGCTGATATATTTTGAGGATGGTAGGCCCGGCCATGCTTGGAGAGTATGAGAGAGCTTTTCATGTCCCCTACAGCATCCTCTTGGTCCATGAATCTTCCATTAGGCTCTTCCTCAGTTGTACCTTTTATAATAAACTGATATCATAATGTATTCTCTTTTTGAGCATTGTAAGTGTTTTAGAGAATTATTGAGTCTGAGAAGGATGGGGTCAGGGGAGTCCCCAAATTTGTAGTCAGCTGGGCGGAGTACAGGTAGCATAAGAACTGTATTTTGGTTAGTGTCTAAAGTGGGGGCAGTCTAATGGGGGCTGAATCCTTAACCTGTGTTGTATGTGTTAGATCTGAATTGAGTTGAATTGAATTCTAGGACATCCTGTTGGCGGCAGAGGATTGTAGAATTGAGCATTAGAAAAAAAGCCACATAGTTAGCCATGCTGAAGAGGTTGAAGCAGGAAGGTTTCAAGTTCAAAGCTAGTCTGGGACACACCTTGTCAGGGTATGGTAGCACACATCTGTAATCCTAGCCTTGGGAGGTAGAGGCAGGAGGGTCAAGAGTTCAAGGCCAGCCTATGCTTATGATAAGCCTTGTGCTACAGGAGAAACAAAGCCCCAGAGTGGGAAACTTCCCCCCCCCCTTTTAACTCACAATACATCTCCTTTCTCTCTATTAACTTCACATGGCAACAACAGGTGAGTCACAAAGACAACTCTTTTCTTTGCTACCCGCTGATGTACACAGACACATCCCATGTCCTATAGAACAGAGAGCTGAAGTCCAGGAGTCTGTGAAGCAGCTCAGAAAGGATTGTTGAGAGACTAGTGCTGCAGCTCCAGGACTGTACCTCTGTGCCCAGTGCAGTATAAACTTAAGAAATTTGTACTCAGTGTTTGTGTGTGGAGTGGAATGTGTGTGTGGAGTGTGTTTATGTGTGATGTGAGTGTGCATGCATGCCACAGTGTATGTGGGGAGGTCCTCATCTCTCCAGCCTTGGAGCTCCATGTTCCCAGTGGATGGCTCACCGTCCTTGGCTTTTTTTTTTTTTTTTTTTTTTTTTTTTACATAGATTCTAGGAGTTGAACTCAGGTCCTCATGGTCGCTCAACAAGTAGTATGTGGACTGAGCTATCTTCCCAACACCATGGAGGCTTCTATTTTTAGACAGTCTCATTATTTAGCCCTGGCTGGCCTGTAAGGAGCTATGTAAACCAGGCTGAGCTCAAACTCACACAGCCTTCTGCTTCTGTTTCCTAAGCGTTGGGATTACAGGCACTGGGCCACTACGCCAGAATTCCACCCCCCCCACATACATACAGATACACATATTTTGAGGTAGAGGTTTATCATCTCCTTTTACCTAGACATCCAGTGAGCTCAACCAGTTTGCTCACACTGGCAAAATAACCAACCATTTGGTTTGTTTATAGAACATGCAATGCCATGGTAACCATCTTTTTTTTTTTTCTTCTTTTTTGCTAAAGCTCATGTGCTTGCTAGTTATGTCAACTTAACACAAACTAGAGCCATCAGAGAGGAGAAACTGTGTAAGATTTGGCTGAAAGGCATTTTCTTACTTATTGATTAACAGGGAAGGGCCCAGACCATCATGGGTGGGGCCACCCCTGGGCTGGTGGTTCTGAGTTATATAAGAAAGAAGGCTGAACAAGCCATGTGAAGCAAGTCAAAAAGTAGCACCCCTCTGTGAACTCTGCATCAGCCCCTGCCTCTAGGTTCCTGCCCTGCTTGAGTTCCTGTCCTGGTTTCCTTTGATGATGACCTATGGTATGGATGTGTAAGTCAAACAAGTCCTTTCCTCCCCAACTTGCTTTTTGGTCATGGTGTTTCATTGCAGCAATAGAAACTCTCACTAAGACAAACCATGTTATCCCCTTTAGGAGTCCCAACAGTGGCTGGGCCAGACAAGCATAACCATCAGACCAATAAAAGTTGTGACAAACCATACCTGTCTATTTCATTAAATGCTCTGGAAACCAGCTGACAGCATGATTTCACATGGTAACAGATTTTAGAATCACCCATCTTTACAGCACTCTGGGTCGAGAAGTGCATAGGAAAGTAGGAAGCATCCTTTTCTATATTACACAAGGGGACGTTACATATCACAGTTGCGCTTGACACAAACTGTATTGTGCTCTTTCATGTGCAAGGACCTTGTCAGGTTGTTTAGCACAGTATCCTCAGCCCACTGCACAACTCTTTGGCATTTAGTAGAGTTTGAATATCTGGTGAACGAAGCAGAGAAAAAGCGTCTTCTCAATAAAGTTGGAATAGAAAATTCTATTCTTAGCACATTGGGTGTCTGGGCCTCACTCACTGAGGCTGAATCACAGGCCGTGGGTTGCCGTCATAGAAGGTGTGTTTATGTGGAGCAACAGCCCTAGTGGGAACAGCAAACACGAACGTGGTAGGACAGGTGCTAAGACCACACTGCAGCAGGCTCCTAAAAAAAGAATGTCCTTGATGTAGCTCAGCGGTAGAGCATTTGCCTGGCATGTGCAAGGCCTTGGGTTCCATCTTCTACACCTAAGAGGGGAAAAAAAGAGAG